CAGAGTGACCAGTCCCTGGGAAAGGACAACATGCTTAGCAAAGTAGAGGGTCAGCGCAAAAGAGGAAGGCTCTCAATGAGATGAAATGACCCAGTGGCTACAAGGATGGACACAAACAGAGCAAGGGTTTTGAGGATGGCCCAGGACAGGGTATTGTTCTGCTAGACACAAGGTTGCTCTACGTCTAAAGCAACTTGATCGAACCTAGCATTTGTTGTGAGACAGAACCACTTGAGGAGCATGGAAGTCCTCTTTTTCTACTTCATTGCCCTCTTTTTTTTTTCTTCCCCTGGTTACAGCAGAGCTCTTAAACAGCTTCTGTTCTCAAAGTCTGTGTGGCAGATGGCTTGGACTGACTTCAAGTTTGTCCCTTGTTGTTACTGTTAGCTGACAAGAAGTCAGCCCCCGACCCATGGTGCCTTCATGTAACAGGATCAGGTCACTCAGGCACAGGTTTTTTGTCAGCTAATTTTTTGGCAGTAAATCACCAGGCCTTTCTTCATGTTACTCTGGCAGCTCCTCTAAAACCTATATCATATATCCTATGATCATAGCAACTTGCAAGTCTCCACTGACAGAGAAGCAGTGGCAATATATAGGTACACTTGCTGGAAGTGAACCTGGGTCTCCCTCATGGAAGATGACAATTATACCTCAGTTTCACTACTGCTAGAGTCCTGGTGTGGCTCTGTAAGATAAACACTGGGCTGCCAACCTCAAAGTCTCTGATTCAAACCCACCAGCTGCTCCTTAGAACCCCTATACAGGGTTACTGTGAGTCAAAACCAACTCGAAGGCACTTAACAACACAACAGCATCACCACCGTCTACCAGTTTGTCCCTATTTCTTCATTACAGAAAAAAACAACTCCAAGTACATCAAGTAAAAATCACCACATGGAATATATTATGAACATTCCACAGTACTTTGTATGTCTCTTTGCAACATGATCTTGGATCACGTTGATCTAGATCCCTCTATGGAATGACTACTGTGATGTTTGTCATTGATCCTTGCTGCTTAGTTGTTGTTGTTAAGTGCATTAGAGTTAGTGCATAGTGACCCTGTGTAGGGTTTCCAAAGAGCAGCTGGTGAGCTTGAACCGCCGACTCAGTGGTTCAAACCGACCCACAGTGCCACACAGGTTTTCAGGGCTTCAATACTTGGATTTCTGCAATACTGCAGGCATGACAGTTATCTGGAATCTAATCTGCTGCTCTGGTGAAATGACTTCACTCTCCAGTTTTGCTTTACTTGTACCCAAGTCAAGGTTTCCTGTTGGTCTGCAATGTGACCCAGCTGACACTGCTGTTCTTTAAAATGTGACGATTTCTCAGCCAACACATCAAATTATCTTTGGGTGATCACAGCTCACTGCGCTGAGCTCTATTTATGTGGCATCTTCCCCTCCTTGTTCCCACACTGATAACAAATCTCTTTCACCAATTTACTTACTCTTTGGTTGTTTGTTTCAATCCACATCTCCTTACAGCTTCTCCAGAGCCTTGGGTGAAGCACTTACAGATGTCAGTATCTATTAGCTTGGCACATTCATCTTGGTTTCCTTGTTTCTCCCGAGCTGTCTGGCTGCTCAGAGGTGAGCCCAGGTGGCTTTGCGCATGTATTTTCTCAAAATCGGGCGTTATAGCTAAGCACCGCCACCGCCTGTCTGTTACCAGAGGCTAATGTGTTGCCATGATGCTGACTCGGTTTCAGTGAAGCTTCCAGACTCAGAAAGACTAGGAAGATGGGCCTGGTGGTCTACTCCTAAAAGTCAGCCAATGAAAACTCTAAGCATCATAATGGTCTAAGCCGCATTTATCATGGGGATGGGATAGCCTGGGACTGGGGAGGGCAGTGTTTGTTTGTTTTTTCATTGTTCCTTGGGTTGCCATGAGTTGGGGAATGAATGGAAAGCAGCTAATAGCAACAACTGTCTCTCTCTGACTTTTTGCACACTTCTCTGGATCCCTCAAAGAACCTAGCAGAAAACCTCACTGTTTGCATATGATCAACAGAGAGCCCGGCATTTTTGCCACTTGTCATATGATAGCAGCATTTCTTCAGTGAACCAAAACTTCCAGCGCCTCTATCTTACTGCCGAGTTCTGTCTGAAAACATTTCGAGTGTGATCTTTATAATCAAATTCATCTCATATCAAATAGGGAGCCTCTTTTGAAACCAGTCTCCCTGGTTGTTTGAGGCCTCCAAAGAAGTGTATGCAGCAGAGTCCAGAGATTTGTACCTAGAGCTGGATGTGACACTAAAAGACACGACAGAACTTGGCTTTCATGGATGCCAACACATTGGCCTCCTTTAATAACAATAATTTGGAGAGACTCTAACCTTGCAATTGGTTCTCTAAGGCCTCTGTCTGTTTACAAAAGCACAAGTCAAGAATCCTGAAACAGAAGGCCAGTCAATAGGTTCCACCCCTATTTAACTATTAGCATTTGAACCAAGTCATGCTGAATGACAGGCTGAAAAGTTGATGTGTTAAACCCATCCAGAAGGGCCTAGACAAACTGCTGCCTAGGAATCTGCTTCTAAAAGGTCACAACCATGAAACACCCCACGGGGCAATTCTACTCTGCACTCTTGGGGTCATCATGCATCAGAATCAAATTTGTTTGTTTTACTTGAACCAAATCGTGTAGCTGTTCTTGTTTCTCTTCTGGTGTTATTATGGAAAGCAAATGAAATACAGCTTGGAAGAGCACTCTAAAATTTGTAAACTACTATATAACACTTCATTCTTCTTGGATCAACTACCAACACTCATGGAAGTAGCAGTCAAGAAATCAAATGACATATTGCATTACACAAATCTGCTACACAAGACCTTTGGAAAGTGTTGAAGAGCAAAGATGTCACCTTGAGAACTAAGGTGCGCCTGACCCAAGCCTTGGTATTTTCAATAACCTCATATGCATGTGAAAGCTGGACAGTGAATAAGGAAGACAGTAGAAGAATTGATGCTTTGGAGTTATGGTGTTGGAGGAGAATATTGAAAGTACCATGGGCTGCCAAAAGAACCAACAGATCTGTGTTGGAAGAAGTGCAGCCAGAGTGCTCCTTGGAGGCCAGGATGGCCAAACTTCATCTCTCATACTTTGGACATATTGTCAGAAAGGACCAGTCGCTGGAGAAGGATAAGGTAGTTTGGTAAGGTAGGGGGTCAGAGAAAGAGAGGAAGACCCACAATGAGATAGAATGGCCAAGTGGCAGCATCGATGGACTCAACCATGGCAACAGTAGTAAGGTTGGCCCAGGATCGGGCAGTGTTTCACTCTGCTGTGCATAAGGTCATTATGAGTCGGTACTAACTTGATGGCACTTAACAACAACAACATATAACACCAACAACAAACAGAGGACAATGGGCTTATTAAGGCACCCTTGTTGAGCTGCTAACCAGAAAGTCATTGGTTCAGACCCAACAGCCACTCTCTGGGAGAGAGACGAGACTACCTGCTCTTACAAAGATTTACTGTGAGTTGGAATGAACTTGATAGCAGATTTGTTTTTAATCTGTTTATTGGGTTTAATGGGGGGAACAAATTCTGGAAGAGGGAAATAAAACATTATCTTGTTTGAAATTTTCCACGTCATTGTTTGGCAAATTTTACTGCTTGTATTCTAATACATCCATTGTCTTCCTGTTTTTTTACAACTAAAGATGGCTCTTTCTTTAGTATCCTTTGCAAATATTCCAGGAAGTCTGGTGTTATGCTAGATAATAACGCAGATATGAAAGTGAGTGATGTGATTAGGTTCTGATAGAAGAGGTTTATGAAAGACATTTCCTTTCTTTTTCAAATACTTCCACACTCCAATTTTACTGATCTGTGCAAGAAACCATATCCTCTCATATTTGGTAGACTGGTTATAAGGAACTATTGTGAATTTACAAGAATATAATTACTTTATAGTAATATAACCTTGTTAGCTATTTTGAGTAGAGTAACTCAGACAAAGAATGGAATCAGTTTAATATTAGAAATACATGAGCACTTATATATAGTGGAGTCTGACGGCGGTAGTAAAGAAAGGCAGTGAGAATTCAGTAGTATGTATCAGTGTATACGTATGTTTGGCACTGTAGGATGAGGACTGGGCTGCTATCCATAAGGCTGGCAATTCAAATCCACCAGCTCCTCCTCAAAAACCCTACACAGGGTCATTAAGAATTGGAACTGACTCGATGACACTTAACGACATTTCCAGGGAAATACATGTCATCACCTTCGAATACATATGAGAACTTTCTATAAATTAGAGATTTTATTTTGCAAATTATTTTTAAAAAACAAATTAGTATACTTTCCTTAAGTGGTTTGCTAGTACAAAGATGCAAAAGACATCCTTAAGTAGAAAGAGATTCTCTTTGAGACTTTTCATCACTACAATATTATTTTGTGGAGCAAAAAATATTTTTTGTCATTCTAATAAATAGTACAAAGGTTATTTCTGCTCAGCTTACAAGGACTTATCAAATAATTCATATATATGTTTCTAAAACTTAAGAGGGGACCTTCAAAAAGTTTATGGAAAAATTAATTTTCTTTTCATTCCATTTTTCAATGAATTGTTTGGCGCTCCCTCTTTTTTTCCCACATAGGCGGTAAAACTTGACTTTATTTCTAGGCTCAACTATCATTTTTTTTTCATCTTATATATTGTATTAATTAATTACATGTTTGTTTTCTTATGTATTTTTGCCCCAAAGAGAAACAATGGCCCCTAGTTTACTTTGTTTTCAGGGAATCTGATCATGCTTCTATTTCAATCCTCACTAAAGATAGCAGAATAGGACTCTTTTGACAAAACAAAACAAAAAAAACAGAAAACAAAAGACTATCTACATAATTTACAGAGGCAATTACCATCCCAGAGTAGCAAGAGGGTGCAAAGAAATATCCAATATGATGAACAGCTTAGGTTTCGGTTTCGTCAGCTTTCAGCTACAAGTAAGACAGATGCCCACAGTGGGTCTTACCTGCAGTGCACAACCATTGGACCAGCATCCGGAGGATTACAGGTTTTGACTCTCCGTAAGAAAGCCAGGAAAGGTGTTGGGTGTTCTGGAACACCATGATCAGGCCAGGCGGTGAACTGGAATTGTCTGACTTCTCTCTTCTCACTTGACCCATTCTGGAAAGTAAGAACAGAAGCTGAAACTCTGGCTTCCTAGCCTCAGGTACCAATGAAGAATGGCATGTGGACCACAAGAACTAGATGATACCCAGCTATCATTACTGACCATTCTAATCAGACCACAATGGGTGGCTTCTGACAAAATGGGAGGAAAATGCTGAATGGAACTCAAGTTCCTAAAAACGGGAGATAAACCAGCCCAACTAAGATTAGAGGGCTCCCTGAGAGAACAGCCTTGCGATAGTATTTTATTGAAGCAAAAAGATCCCTGAGGTCACCTTTTAGTAAAATCATAGACTGGCACACAAAATAAAGGCTATTACCCATGAGTACAGTGCTCCATCAAAAAAATACATCTGTATGAGACCAATGGGTCAACTGTGACTCTAAATCAAAGGATAGAAGCAGGCAGGAAGGGACACTAGAACCCTGGAAATGGAACAACCAGAATGCAATAAAAGGAAATGCTGACATTTTGTGCAACATGAACTAATGTCACTGAACTTGGATAGAAATTGTCAAAAGGAAACAGAATTTGCTGTGTAAATTTTCACTGAAAATACAATTATTATTAAACAAACAAAATAGGTGTGACAGAGTTAGCACTAAATTGTACTATCTTAATTCTCCCCCAACCCTCTCTATCCCTTTGGGAAGACACATTCTTTGGAGCTAAGAACTTTGAGCTATTTAGAAATGATAAATATTTGCTCTGGAAGATAAAATTCCTATGTGAGAAGCATTCCATTTTTCACGTTTAGCTATGGAAGCGCTCCTGTTAGATGTAACAGGGGAAACTAGTTCTTCTTCATCTATTCTTCATTTGCTGAAACTTTCATTCAGAGCAAGTTCCGTCTTTCCTGATAAATCTCCAGACCAGGAGGGAAAAACCGTTGTGCGATAATGGAAGAATTATTTCATTCTTCACTGTTGCCAGAGGGATCGAGATTTAAGGAAAGCTGTGAGCGATCTGATTTCTCAAAAGCAGCTTTCTTTGAATAATGGGGAAGAGAGAAAGGGAGAGGGGAAAAAAGAAAAAAAGGCAAACCTTGTAAAGTGCAAATGTTCGAACGCAATACGTGGCCAGCTCGACCGTATCCAGCAGCGTCACCTGGACAAGTCCGTGGGTTTCTGTACCTCGACTGGGCCAATACTGGTCACACTTGACCTAGAAGGAACAAGTAACAAAGTCAGGGCTAATGCGCATCAATTTCCCTATTTGCTTTACTTTGAGTCACTGTTGAAAGAAAATAGTCTTTTCTGCATTTCAGGTAAGGTTGATCTTTTTCTGGTTTGCATTCTAGTTATCCCAACATATATAAATGGTAGCTCTGGTGCCAATATCAACAAGGTTTTTCAAAACTGGTAGGAATACTAAGCAAGAACAGATTCAGTTTTCCTGGAGATAAATAAGTTGCAAATTATGGCTGAGTAAAATCAGGGCTGAGGTACCGGAAACTTCAAGAGGAATTGAAAAGGAAGCACAAATTTGTTCTGGAAGTTTACACCTAGACATTTAAACTACACAGAGAGACAGTGTGTTCATCCATCAAAATCTAACAAGCCCACGATATTATTGCATCTTCAATGGTCATGATTTCCAAATACGCTTGTTTACACAAAA